GACATGCACAGACCCCAGCTACTTACATGCTGCTCGAATCAGCTTTCCCAGAGTCTAAGTCTGGCCAGGGCCACAGAGGCCGAGTCCCCTGGGTGGTAATCCTGCCTGCTTTCTGCACTTGAACATAAAGTCCTCCTCAACACGGCCTGTGGTCTGCCTCTTGGCAACCAAAAGCCTGCACTTCCATAGGAGCCAGGGCGTGGACTGGAATTCCAAAGGCAGCACATACCCTGCTCCTCAGCCTGCTGCTCCATTTCCTCTATATGGTTCCATTTGCAAAGCCATGATTGTTGTACTCAGGCTTCTGCGTGTCAGGCGCAGGCCAAGCAAGCTCAAGAGCAACCAGCCACCTCTGCAGGGTGTGCCAGGAGCAGGTGGAGCAGCCACCAGCCTCACTCGCTGATGGACATGGTACATCAGTTCATCTCAAAAGGTAGGGCCAAGAGGCAGACCACAGGCCGTCTTGAGGAGGACTTTATGTTCAAGTGCACAAAGCAGGCAGGATTACCACCCAGTGGACTTGGCCTTCTGTGGCCTACACAGTGCCACGAGCCCTGAGGCATGTACTGGTACCATCTCCTTTATACAAGATTAACTTTCACGTGGCAGGAGAAGGAGCAGACTGAGAGGAAGAAGGTGCCACACGCTGCTATAAAACCAGATCTCATGAGAACTCACTATCACGAGGTCAGCATCAAGAAGACAGTGCTTAACCATTGGTGAAGCTTCCACTCTGGAAAACCAGCTCCCACTGTTTCTAGGAAGAAGCATGCTGCAGAGGCAGAGCCTCTCGGGAAACCTCTGCTCAGGCACTGCAGAAGGAAAATACAGGCTTGCAGGCCCCACGCAGAGGTCCACCACCCTCCGGACCCCAGGCCCAGCCTAGCAGAAGTGGCTGGTTGCTCCTTGAGCCACCTTGGCTTTGCCTGCAATGCACAGGCCCCAGCCACCGACACACTGCTCCGAGTGAGCTTGTCCTGCCTTGTCCCAAATTCTAAGTCTGGCCAGGGCCACAGAAGGCTGAGGCCCATGAGTGGTAATCCTGCCTGCTTTCTGCACTTGAACATAAAGTCCTCCTCAAGACGGCCGGTGGTCTGCCTTTGGCAACCAACAAGACTGCAGTGCCATAGGAGCCCTGAGGCATGGACTGGAGCATGAAAGGCAGCACACACCCTGCTCCTGAGCCTGCTGCTCATTTTCTCTGTGGCTCCATTTGTAGTATGGTTGTTGCACTGAGGCTTCTGCATGCTGGGCAAGGCCAAGCTGGCTCATAGAGCAACCAGCCACCTCTGCAAGGGTGTGCCAACAGAAGGCGGAACAGCTGCCAACATCACTCGCTGCAGGACATGGGACATCAGTTCTGCTAGGCTAAAGATAAGGCCACAGTGCCATCTGCTTTTCCTCAGGCCTCTGCTCCATCAGCCATTAGGTGGCAACTCTTCACGCTGTGTGAACCTGGCCATCCCTGCTTCCTTGAGTGGATGAGGTTAGTGGCTGGTCCACTGGCTCCTGGCACACCCTTGCAGAAGAGGTTGGTTGCTCTTTGAGCCAGCTTGGCCTTGCCTGGCATGCACAGGCACCACGTACTGACACGCTGCTCTGAGTGAGCTTGTCCGGCCTTGGGCCAAATTCTAAGTCAGGTCACGGCCACAGAAGTTGAGTCCCCCAGGTGGTAATTCTGGCGACTTTCTACACTTGAACATAAAGTCTTCCTCAAGATGGCCTGTAGTCTGTCTCTTGGCCACCAAGAAACCCGAAGTGCCATATGAGCCCTGAGGTATGGACTGGAGCCCCAAAGGCAGCGCACACCCTGCTCCTGAGTCTGCTGTTCATTTCCTCTGTGGTTTCATTTGTAGCACGGTAGTTGCACTGAGGCTGTGCATGCCAGGGAAGGTCAAGCTGGCTCAAAGAGCAACCAGCCACCTCTGCAAGGGTGTGCAAGGAGTTGGTGGATGAGCCACTAACCTCACTTGCTGCAAGTCGAGGTACATCACTTCTACCCTACAGGTAGAGCCCCAGTGCTATCTGCTCTTCCTGAGGTCTCTGTTCCATCAGCCATAAGGAGGAAGTCACTAAGGTTACAGGAACCTGGCCATCCCTGCTTCCTTGACTGGGTGAGGGTAGTGGCTGGTCCAACTGCTCTAGGCACACCCTTACAGAGGTGGCTTATTACTCCAAGAACCAGATTAGCCTTATGCAGCAAGCACAGGCCCCAGCTAACTACACGGTGCTCCGAGTCAGCTTGTCCTGCCTTGGCCCAAATTCTAAATCTGGCCAGGGCCACAGAAGGCCAAGTCCCCTGGGTGGTAATCCTGCCTGCTTTCTGCACTTGAACAAAAAGTCCTCCTCAAAATGGCCTGTGGTCTGCATCTTCACAACCAAGAAGGCTGCAGTGCCATAGGAGCCCTGAGGCATGAACTGGAGAACAAAAGGCAACACACACCCTGCTCCTGAGCCGGCTGCTCATTTCCTCCATATGGGTCCATGTGTAGAACAGTTGTTGCACTGAGGTTTCTGCATCCGGGCAAGGCCAAGCAAGCTCAAAGAGCAACCAGCCACCTCTGCAAGGGTGTGCCAGGAGCAGGTGGAACAGCCACCAAACTCACTCGCTGATGGACATGGTACCTCAGTTCTTCTTCCCTAAAGGTAGGGTCGAGAGGCAGACTACAGGCCGTCTTGAGGAGGACTTTATGTTCAAGTGCAGAAAGCAGGCAGGATTACCACCCAGTGGACTCGGCCTTCTGTGGCCTACAGTGCCACACGAGCCCTGAGGCATGCACTGGTGCCATCTCCTTTATACAAAAATTAAGATGGATTAAACAGTTCAACGTGCCATCTGCATTTCCTCAGGCCTCTGCTCCATCAGCCATTAGGTGGCAGCCACTCAGGCTGTGGGAATCTCAACATTCCTGCTTCCTTTAGTGGGTGAGGTTGCTGGCTGGCCCACCTGCTCCAGGCACACCCTTGCAGAGGTGTCTGATTGCTATTTGAGCCAGCTTGGCCTTGCCTGGCATGCACAGGCCCCAGTAACTTACAGGCTGCTCTGAGTCAGCTTGTCCCAAATTCTACGTCTGGCCAGGGCCACAGAAGGCTGAGTCCCCTGGGTGGTAATCCTGCCTGCTTTCTGCACTTGAACACAAAGTCCTCCTCAAGATGGCCTGTGGTCTGCCTCTTGGCAACCAACAAGCACGCATTGTCATACGAGCCCTGAGGCACTGACTGGAGCCCCAAAGGCAGCGCACACCCTGCTCCTGAGCCTGCTGCTCGTTTCCTCTACATGGCTCCATTTGTAGCACAGTTGCTGCACTGAGGCTTCTGCATGCAGCACGCATGCCAGGCAGAGGCCCCAGAGTTGTCTCTGAGAAAGCCAGCCACCTCTGCAACCGTGCCAGGTGGAGTGCACCAGCCACCAACCTTACTCGCTGATCGGGCCTTGGTACATCAGTTCTTCTACCTAAAGTGGGGCCAAGAGGTAGACCATGGGCCGTCTGGGGAGAACATCTAGCGCGAAGCAGGCAGGATTACCACTCAGAGGACTTAGCCTTCTGTATTTGAGTATAGCAGGCCTGGGGCACGAACTGGTGCCATCTCCTTATCACAAATTAGATGGATTAAACAGTTCAGCATACCTCTGCTTTTCCTCAGGCCTCTGCTCTGTCAGGTGAGCCACTCAGGTTGTGGGAATGACCATTCCTATGTCAGCAGGTAGCTAGGGGCTACTGGATGGTGCACTAGCTCCAGGTGCACCCTTGCAGGGTGGCTGGTTGCTCTTTGAGCCCGGCATGCCTGGCATACTGGCTCCAGCCACTTACACGCTGCTCTGAATCAGCTTGTCCCAAAGTCCTAAGTCTGCCCAGGACTACAGAAGGGGCTGAGTCCCTGGGTGGTAATCCTACCTGCTTTCTGCATGAACATAAGAAGTCCTCCCTCAAGACAGCCTGTGGTCCTGCCTCATGGCACCAACAAACGTGCAGTTCCATAGGAGCTCCACAGAGACATGGCTGGAACCAAACCTTACATACCCTGCTCTGAACCTGCTCATTTCCTCTGTATGGTTCATTTTTGCTTACTTTGATTTCAGCTTTGCTGTGGCTTGTGTGTGCGAGGTAAGGCCAGCCGGTTCAAAAAACAACCTTTACCTCTGCGAATTATTCAGGCAAGTGGAACAGATGCCAACCTCATTTGCAGTTCAGAGGTACACTCAGTTTTCCATAGAGGTGATTCCCAGTGCTATCTGCTTTTCTCAGGTCTCAGCTCCATCCCAGCTGTCAGGTGGAAGCCACTCAGGCTTCTTGAGACCTGGCCATCTCAACTTCTTGAGTAGCCTAGATTGCTGACTGGTCCACCTGCTCCATCGCTCTTCAGAGATGGCTGGTTAGATCTTCCAGGCCAGCCCAGCCTTCACTAGTATCCGCAGATACCAGCTCCCCATAAGCTCCTCAAGTCAGCTTGTCATGTCTTGGAGTGCAGAAATTCACAGTCAGCCATGGCCGGAAGACCTGATCCTGGGGTGGTAATCCTGCCTGCTTTTTACACTTGTTTGCCTAGTCCTCCTCAAAGAGGCCTGTGGTCGCCTCTTGGCAACCAACAAGCATGCAGTGCCTCCGACCCTGAAACACTGACATTACAAAGGCAGCAGCACCCTGCTCTGACCTGCTGCTTGTTTCCTCTACATGGCTCCATTTGTAGCACAGATGTTGCAGTGGAGCTTCTGCATGCCAGAAGGCCAGTTGGCTCAAAAGCAACCAGTCACTTCTACAAAGGGTGTCCCAAAATCGCTGGATGAGGTCACCGGCCTCACTCACTGTCGGTCCAGGGTACATCAGCTCTTCTACCACAGGTGGGGCCCCAGTGCTATCTGGCTCACAGGACTGCTGCTCCTTCAGCTATCAGAATTTTTACTCAGGCTGTAGGAACCTGGCACATCCTGATTCCTTGACTGGGTAGGAGGTTGCTTGATGGTCCACCTGCTCAAGGCGTACCCTTGCAAAGGTGGTCCACCTGCTCCAGGCGTACCCTTGCAAAGGTGGCTGGTTGCTCTTTGAGCCAGCTTGGCCTTGCCTGGCATTCACAGGCTCCAGCTACCTACACACAGATACTCTGAGTCAGCTTGTCCCAAATTCTAAGTCTGGCCCCGGCCTCAGAAAGCCAAGTCCCCTGGGTGGTAATCCTGCCTGCTTTCTGCACTTGAACATAAAGCCCTTCTCAAGACGGTCTGTGGTTTACCTCTTGGTAACCAACAACCCTGCAGTTCCATAGCAGACCTGAGACATGGACCCCAAAGGCAGCGCACACCCTACTCCTGAGCCTGCTGCTCATTTCCTCTATATGGTTCCATTTGTAGCACGGTAGTTGCACTGAGGTTTGTGCATGCCAGGCAAGGGCAAGCTGGCTCGAAGAGCAACCAGCCACCTCTGCAAGGGTGTGCCAGGAGCAGGTGGAACAGCCACCAACCTCATTCGCTGCCATTCAGGGTACCTCGGTTTTTCAACCCTAGCAGTACGGTCCCAGTGCCATCTGCTTTTCCTTAGGTCTCATCTCTATCAGCCGTCAGGTGGCACCCACTCGGGCTGTGGAAACCTGACCATCCCGACTTGTTTTTTTGTTTTGTTTTGTTTTTTGTTTTCTTGGGGTTTTTTTGTTTTTGTTTTGTTTTGCATTGTTTTGCATTGTTCTTGTTTTTGCAGCCACAGGAGATTCAGCCAATTCAGATGCCTTGCTACCCACAATTTGGAACATTCCTTTGGATTTGACCAAGTCAGGAAGAGATGGGAGAAAAATGAAACAACAACAATAAAACCCCAAACACAAACAGAGTTCAGCAAAACTAACAAATGCACAATCCATATGATTACTGAGTGTTCTAATGGTAAGGAGACATTAGAAGCAGCTGGTGGGTAATCTTACATTTTAGTCATCAAGGAAAAATTTTAAGACAAAACTCTAATTCAGCTACTTACCTGGAAATAAGGTTCAGGCTAGTCATCGTTCTCTGCCCTCTTAGAAGCTGGAAAAAACTTACACTCACCTTCCCTTAAGAAGTTGAAACTCAGGAAAGGAGGTGCCTGCTCTCCATCGTCATGGAAGCAGGAAAACTTGCCATCCTTGTTGGAAATGAGTAAAACTTCAGAAAAGAGTTATACAACAAAATCAACCCTAGATCTCAACCAAATTTTGGGAGATCAGAGGCTCTCTGTTAAGCTCCCCAACCTCAGCAAATTATCCTCTTGGTTTGGGCAATAAAGATAGCCCAGGTTGGTATCAAGCAATAATGAGATTTCTCAAACGTCAGGACCACCTTTGTAATGTCCTCTTTTTATCTTTAATGGTAGTCTGTTTTGTCAGAAACTAGGAGTGCAACACCTGCTTTTCTCTGTTTTCCATTTGCTTGAAAGATTTTTTTCCATTCCTTTATTTTGAGCCTATGTATGGCACTGCATGTGAGATGGGTTCCTTGAAGATGGCGTACTCCAATGGGTACGGTTCTTTATCAAGCTTGCCCCCATGTCTTTCAATTGGAGCATTTAGCCCATTTACATTTAAGGTTAGTAATGGTACATGTGGATTTGATCCTGTCATCATGCTGTCAGATGGTTATTTTGCAGACTTGTGTATGTGGTTGGTTTTTAGCATCACTGGTCTGTGTACTTCAGTGAGTTTTTGTAGTGGCTGGTGGTGGTCTTTTCTTTCCCTATTTAGTGCTTCCTTCAGGAGCTCTCATAAGGTAGATCTGGTGATACTGAATTCCCTCAGCATTTGCTTGTATGAAAAGGATCTCATTTCTCCTTCACTTATGATGCTTAATTTTGCTGAACATGAAATTCTAGGCTGAAAATTCTTTTCGTCAATAGCAGTTGGTGTAGGCTGGGGTGGGTGCTGCACTCCCCTGTGCTGTCAGGGCAAGTACAGCAAAATCAGGTCTCAGAGGAGACCTCTCTCAAAAGTGAACCCCCACCGCAGCACAGCTGCTCTACACAAATGTGGCCAGACTTCTTTTTTAAGCAAGTCCCCTTTATAAAGAGGGGAACTCTCAGACCTGATCTCTGCTGGGCAATCTTGTACATGAGATGTGGCTGGTCTGACCTCAGCATTCCTAAAGTGCTGGGATAAAGTGTCTCACAAGAGAAAGTGGACCCTAGAGAGAGAGCTGTCCCTGCCCTCTGGGCTCCACATCACCTGACTTGCTGCTCCACCACTTTGCTCCTCTGCTGGGTGCTCCATCCCTGAGACATGTGAGTTAGCAATCACTAGTGTAATCAGCCCAGGATGGAGGGTCGGTGCTGTGGGCCCAAGCCAGGGTTGCTTGTCTGGTGATGAGCAGTGGAGGGCATGTCATGCACATGGGAGATGGACTGGCTTGCTCCAATAAACTGCAGCTTATTGGAGGTGTTGTCAAGGCACTTAGGGTCTTTGCTCCCTTGATATTCTGAGGGTAGCAAGGGCAGTTCCACTGCAGAGACCATGGCAGAAAGGATTTCATTGGCTCCTGGAAGCTCTGTCCAGGGAACTGGCAGTTGCTGCTCACTTGACAACTCTGGTGTGGGCTGGCTAGAGACCCAGGCCAGGAGGACCTGCCCATCAAGCAGACAGTCTGGCCACTTTTCTGTAGGGCTGCTGTGGTATGCTGGGGGTCCTCTCCCATCCCTAATTGCCTCGTATTTTCCAGGGAAGATGATAGCCTGCCCCTTCCTCTGGGAGCTCTGTACCACTGAGGTGCGAACTTGTTGCCAATCTGAACACACCTATGAGACGTGTCTGGAGGCAAGTGGAGAAGTCTTACCTAGTCAGGAGAAAGAAGAACAGGGACTTGCTTTAAAAAAACGTCTGGCCATGTTTTTGTAGAGCAGCTGTGCTGTGCTGGGGGTTCACTTCAGCCCCTGGTTGCCTCAGACACTCTGAAGCCCTAAGGCTGAAATGGCTGAGTCGCCCAAACAGTAAACAGTCTGGTCCTCCCCCTGGGAGCTCTGATTCAGGGAGGCCTGAGACCTCTGTCGGCCAGAGAACAGCAGTCGAGGTAGCCAGAGACCCTGGTTGAAAGACTTCACCCGCTGACCAGAAATGGGGTCGGTAACTGACGTAAACAAGAGGCTGGCCACATTTTCATAGCATGGCAGTGCTGTGGTACCTCTTCCATCCCTTGTCAGCTTGGGATCTCCAAAGCCTGCAGGCCAGAACAGCTAGTCATCCAAACAGGAAAGGAGGTGGTCTGTCCCTCTCTCTGGGAGCTCTGTCCCAGGAACATTTCAAATTTCCATTGGCCAAGGAATGCTGGTGGGGATAGCTGGAGGCCCCAGGCGGGAGGTCCTGTCCACTGAGGTGGAACAGAATCAGGGCCCTGCTTACAGAAGCAGTCTGGCCATGATCTGGTAAAGCAGCTGCGCTGTGCTGCGGGATCTCTTCTGCCCCTGGTCGGGGCAGGCTGGAATGACTAAGTTGCCTGAACAGGAAAGATGGTGGCCTGCTCTATCTTTTCTCTCAGAGTTTATCTTGTTTGATAGAGCTTAATTTTTAGCCTGTTGATTTTACTTTCTACATTAGACTTGTTCAGAAAGAATCTGTTATCTTTTAGGTTAGATATATGAGAATTCACTGTTTTCTGTAAGTAAACCTGTTCATGTCTTGTTCTCTGGAAGGAAGTCTCTTTCAGCTATCCGACTTTGGTCACAGTCATGTAGAGCAGTAGCCAGTCCACAATGACATAACTGAATTTCCATTTCCAGTGTTTCCTTGGTGTGTCTTACATCGTCCAGAACTGAGCATTTTATTCTCAGTTGTCAAAATGCTAAGCTGTCCACTGTACTGAAATACTGTGCTTCCTCATTCAATTTTTTTAAGGTGTGCACTTTCATCCAATTCTTCTCAAGTCAGAGTACAGGTAAGCCCTGGCTGCCTCCAGCCACTCTCAGGGAGACCAAAAGCCTTCATACACCCCGAGTTGGGGTACAAAAAAGGGGGCCATGAAAACTGTTCAAAATGAAACAAAATCAAAAAGTACTCAGGCGAAGATTTTAAAAATTTTGCATTACATAATTTACATGAAAGCAATGCTATCATCTCCCCTGTGTGAACTCGGGAGAGGACTGGGCCATTCTCCTTAGAGAGAAGTGGGGTGGCTTTTAGGAGGGCAAGGGGCTTCCTGAAACAACGCATCTCACAATATTTGGAATGACTATTGAAAAGAAGAACAATGTACAATCAGAGTCCTCAGCCACATTGTAGAACTTTGGGGGATGTTCACTCCAACCAACTGCTGTCACCTTCAGCATTCCAGTTTTTAAATCCTAAGTCAAGTCAATAAAAAAACAAAATGAAACAATAAAACAAATAAAGCCATGCCATCTCATCTTGTTTTCTGCGAAGTTTGGTTTTGTCAAGAAAGGGTGTAACGCAACTAAGTCACAGTCCACCTAGAAGCATTTGCGGTGGACAATGGAGGGGCCTGACTCATCATACTCCTGCTTGGTGATCCACATCTGCCGGAAGGTGGACAGCGAGGCCAGGATGGAGCCACCGACCCACACGGAGTACTTGCGCTCCGGTGGAGCAATGATCTTGATCTCTATTGTGCTGGGCGTCAGGGCGGTGATCTCCTTCTGCATCCTGTCGGCCATGCCAGGGTACATGGTGGTGCCACCAGACAGCACTGTGTTGCTGTACAGGTCTTTGCGGATGTCCACGTCAGACTTCATGATGGAGTTGAAGGTAGTTTCGTGGATGCCACAGGATTCCATGCCCAGGAAGGAAGGCTGGAAGAGCGCCTCGGGGCAGCGGAACCGCTCATTGCCAATGGTGACGACCTGGCCATCGGGCAGCTCATAGCTCTTCTCTAGGGAGGAGCTGGAGGCCGCTGTGGCCATCTCCTGCTCAAAGTCCAGGGCGACATAGCACAGCTTCTCCTTGATGTCACGCACGATTTCCCGCTCAGCGGTGGTGGTGAAGCTGTAGCCACGCTCGGTGAGGATCTTCATGAGGTGGTCAGTCAGGTTCCGGCCAGCCAGGTCTACGCGCAGGGTGGCATGGGGGAGGGCATTCCCCTCATAGATGGGAACACTGTGGGTGACCCCATCACCGGAGTCCATCACGATGCCAGTGGTACGGCCAGAGGTGTACAGGGACAGCGCTGCCTGGATGGCCACGTACATGGCTGGGGTGTTGAAGGTCTCAAACATGATCTGGGTCATCTTCTCGCGGTTGGCCTTGGGGTTGAGGGGAGCCTCGGTCAGCAGGATGGGGTGCTCCTCGGGAGCCACACGCAGCTCGTTGTAGAAGGTGTGGTGCCAGATCTTCTCCATGTCGCCCCAGTTGGTGATGATGCCGTGCTCCATGGGGTACTTCAGGGTCAGGATGCCTCTCTTGCTCTGGGCTTCGTTGCCCACATAGGACTCCTTCTGACCCATGCCCCCCATTATGCCCTGGTGCCTGGGGCGCCCCACGATGGAAGGGAAGACAGCCCGGGGGGCATCGTCGCCCGCAAATCCGGCCTTGCACATGCCGGAACCGTTGTCAATGACAAGCACAGCGGTATCATCATCCATGGTGAGCTCATTCAACTGCATAGCCTTTAAAAGATCATCATTCTCTTTTTTCGCGCTTTCAATTTCCTCCAAATATTTCTCTTCTCTTAGCTGGCTCTGATGTTTTATCGTGTCTAGCTCCAGTCTTAGCATGGCAATTTCTTCCTGCAATGTACTATTTTCATGCAAGAGATCTTTTTCTTTCTTAGGACAAGGAGAAAGCTAAATAAACAAAGGGAACTTTTAATTAGCACTCAATAGAATGACATATCATGATTTCTTCTGAAATTAAAAAATAACGTGTATTTGTATAATGAAAGAATCCCCATAGTGGACATTTAACTGGAAAAAAAATTGGACAAAATTTCAAACCTAATAGAGTGTAAATTCCCAAAAGTTTAAGTATTTATTTAAAGACTATGAAAAATAAATCACTAGAGGATTTTAAAGAATCTCAGAATTTATAAAGCCTTTCTCTGAGTTACAAAAAAACCCAGAGGTTAAATTCTTTAAGTTCCTTTTACTGAAGAACATTTTACTGATATTCTACATTTCTAATATTTTTATACTCAGGTATAAGAGTGACATTTATTCATAACGGTTAAATCTAAGCATTGTACCCTTCCACAATGTACACGTCTGCATCTAAGCATTGGACTTCTACATGCAACACTGAACTCATTTAAGATCACGATTCTTAAAAGGAGAGGTCAAAAAATATATACAAGATGCAGGATTTTCCCCAGGTCTCCTGATGCTACTTCTAGTGATCCTCCACAAAATCACAGTTACTTCTATGGTGTAAATACATAAATACAAAAGAAGCCTTTTATTTCAAAATACGAATGGTAAATAAGATAGAACTTAGAGAGATTTTCTGAGAAATCATGAGATTATTTGCCATTGCAATAACTTTTCTTTCCTCTTACAATGTTTGAAACAGTAGTAAGTGTGAAATAGGGGAAATACACTGAACTATTTCTCTAGGAACAAAATACTTATCAATAAATTATCACTAAATGTGTATCATGGCATGTCATTGTTTTCAAAGCTCTTTGCATTGAAATGAGAAACTTCTTGGAGCAAACTGTTCCTCTCTGCAAAAGCAAGGATAATGACATCCACAATGTAGCCTCTGACCCAGCTATACATTTCCGACTTTCCTATCAGTGAAAATAATCAATTCACTTCTCTATTAATATTTTCAAAAAATAAACCAATGTCCAAAAACTAGAAAATTTGTTTTTACTAGCGAAACTTATTTTTGATATTGGAAAGATCATCAATTCTGATGAAAAATATCAAATGCTTCTCCTTTGGATTGAGGCCATTGCTCGACTGCTGCAGGCAAATGGAGTTGAATTCAGAACATAGCTTTATCCTATATGTACATATGTAGATATATGACAAAGGATATATAGAATATATACACACATATATATGACTTAAAAATCCTTTATATTTCCAAAATATATCATGTTTTAAATATATACACATATGAAAAATTTGAAAATAACTAAAGAAAATACCTCAGAATTCATTTTCTTTTCAGTCACTTCTATCTGCTCTTGTTTATTAGTCAGAATCTCATCTTGTGATATTCCAGTGTTCTGTTCTTCAGAAACTTGCTTCTGAGTATCATTTTGTTCATCACTAGAAGAAATTTTAATTTTCATGAAATACTGGAGGTGTCCCTAAAATGATCTACAGGGCACGATGGCGCCATCAGACGTCATTCACACGATGTATATCTGCACATGAATCCTAGACAAGGCAAAGGGGTCTCACATCTGTTAACCCAGCTGCCCCAACCATGTTGGCACCAGGGACTGGTTTTCTGGAAGATAATGTTTCCAGGAACCTGAGGTGGGGGATGGTTTCAGGATGATTCAAGCACATTACATTCATTGTGCACTTTATTTCTATTATTATTCATACATAATGAAATAATTATATAACTCACCAAAATGCAGAATGAGTGGGAGCCTCAGCTTGTTTTCCTGCAACTAGATGGTCCCATCTGGGGGTGACAGGAGACGGTGACAGATCATAAGGCATTAGATTCTCATAAGAAGTGAACAACCTGAATCCCCTGCATGAGCAGCTTACAACAGGGTTCGAGTCACACTCCTATGACAATCTAATGCCACCGCTGATCCAACAGGAGTAGGAGCTTGGGCGGTAATGGGAGATTTGATAAATGAATCAATAAAGTCTCAGAAGTTACAAATTAAATGAATACCAATCAGTAGCACCACTATACACCAACTACGACCAAGCTGAGAGTCCTTATCAAGAATCCAATCCCTTTTACAAAGGCTGCAAAAAAGTGTGAAATACCTAGGAATATACTTAATGAAAAAGGTGAGTGATCTCTATAAAGATAACTGGAAAACACCACTCAAGAAAATAATAGATGATGCAAACAAATGAAGATCCATCCTATGTTAATGGACTCAAAGAACTGATATCGTGAAAATGACCATAGTGCCCAAAGCCGTCTACACATTCCATACAATTTCTAGCAAAGTACCAATGTCATTCTTCACAAAGTTATTTTAAAATGCTGACATTTATGAAGGACCACAAAAGAGCCTGAATAGCAACAGACACACCAAGCAAAAGGAACAAATATGTTGGCATCACATGACCTGACTTCAAATTATACTCTAAGGCCACAGTAACAAAAACAGCATGGCACTGGTATAAAAGTAGATACCTAGATCAATGGAACAGAATAGACAACTCAGAAATAAAGTCACTACAACCAAATGATCTCTGAGCAAGGATACAAAAACATACACTGGAGAAAGTACATGTTATTCAACAAATGGAGCTGGGGAAAAAAGATAGCCACATGTTGAAGAATGAAACTGGATCTCTATCTCTCACCATGTACAAGAATAAATTCAAGATGGATTAAAGGCCTAAACCTAAGACCCGAAAATATTGGCCTAGGCAAAGAATTTATGATGAAGACCCAAAAAGCAAAAGCAACAAAAATGAAAATAAATAAGACCTAATTAAACTAAAAAGCTTCATCACAGCAAAAGAAATAATCATCAGAGTAAACCAACAACCTATACAATGGGAAAAAATATTTGAAAATTATGAATCTAACAAAGGACTAATATCTACAACCTACAAGAAACTCAAACAAATCAACAGGAAAAATACAAAGAATTCCATTAAAAAGTGGCCAAATTACATGAATAGACATTTCTCAAAAGAAGATGTACAAATGGTGAACAAGCATATAAAAACATGCTAAATATCTCTAATCATCAGGGAAATGTACAATAAAACAACAGTGAGATATCACCTCACTGCAGCCACAATGGCCACTTTTAGAAATCATAAAACAACAGATGTTGGTGTGGATGTGGTGAAAAGAGAACAGTTATACACTGCTGGTGGGAATACAAATTCGTACAAATCTATGGAAAACAGTATGGAGAGTTCTCAAAGAACTAAAAGTAGATCCTACCATTTTATCCAGAATTCTCATTTCTGGATATCTACACAAAAGAAATCACACTCTCAAAAAGATACCCGCATACATATGTTTACTGCAGCACAATCCACAATATGCAAAGATACGGAATCAACCAGTGTCCGTCAACTGATAAGTAGAATAAAGAAAATGGATATATATATATCTCACATCACATATATATATCATATATATGTCTGTGTGTATATACACACACCATATACATACATACATACCCAAGACTGGGTAATTCATACACATACATACCTGAGACTGGGTCATTCATAAAGGAAATAGGCTTAACTGATTCACAGTTAGGCATGGCTGGGGAGGCCTCAGGAAACTTAACCATAGCAGAAGATGAAGGGGAAGCAGGCACCTTCTTCGCAAGGCCACAGGAGAGAGAGAAGTGAAGGGGAAAGAGCCCCTTAAGAAACCATCAGCTCTTCTGAGAACTCACTCACTATCACAAGAACAGCATGGAAGCAACTGACCCCATGATCCAATCACCTCCCACCTGCTCTTTTCTCTCAACACCTGGGAATTACAATTTGACATGAGATTTGCATGGAAACACAAAGCTAAACTACTGGGGGGTGTATCCTTACTTTTAAAATATCTAAATGTCATTATTTATAATTCAAAAATGGTAATTTTTATTAGTTATGATTTTATTTGAAAATAAAATTATCTGGTAAATTTTCTTCACTTTTAACTTATTCAGTCAAAATATATAAAAAGCTGGATTTGCCAGCAGAAAATTGTAACTACTTTTTAATGAGATAAAAATGTGTAACAATATCATGATTACTGTACAGAGAAGAAAGTGAACAAGAAAAGAAAAGGAATTTAAAAAGAGAGAATATCACTACCATATACATACATGAACTGACAAGGAGACTAAAATCTCCTACTAGAGATTATGTTAGGACTTGAGCAAAAGCTTCTAAAAATACCAAAAACAAAAACAAAACAATTATTTTCAAGAAATAAATTATACACAGAATTCTTCTAGTTAAGATGATATATCAAAAACAATCATCCTGAGAGCTATTATTAACCAATCCATCATAACCAAAACTCTAAGTCTACAATTCTGGAATATTAAAAAGTTTCACTTTGAACATAGTTAATGGAAGGCAACTTTTGAACAGAAAATTTCTGGTTAAAGTTGACTCAACTTAGGAAAGAATTGACCTGTAGCCATGGTAACAAGAAGCCACCTAGAGCCAGTTCAAAATCTAGTCAATCCACCAATGACCACTGGCCTTGCTCACCAACCCATATCCATGTGAGCAGCTTGCTTCTGAAAGACAGCCCAGCAGCAAGAGCTGCTCCATCAGAATAGACAGTGCCTGACCAGTATACATCTTACTAGAGGAAGCAAAAAATTCCAACTCTGACTTTTTATTTCAAATACCAAAGGTCCATAATCCCTTGGAAAGAATTTGTGGTCCATTAAATTTACCACTCTAATAGTTTTTAATATAAAATACTAGTGGTCGGGCGTGGCGGCTCACGCCTGTAATCCCAGCACCTTGGGAGGCCGAGGCGGGTGGATTGCCTGAGGTCAGGAGTTCGAGACCAGCCTGACAAACAGGGTGAAACTCCCTCTCCACTAAAAATACGAAAATTAGTTGGGCGTACTTGCACGCACCTGTAATCCCAGCTCCTCAGCTGGCTGAGGCAGGAGAATTGCTTGAACCCAGGAGGCGGAGGTTGCAGCGAGCCGAGGTCATGCCACTGCACTGCAGCCTGAGTGACAGAGCAAGACTCTGTCTCTAAATAAATAAAATACCAGTAAAGTCTGCAATTCCTCTCACTCATTTTACCATAATTGCAATTATCATGATTACCAGTAAAAGAATAGTGAATAACCACAATATTGGGCTTTTCTCCCTAAGCGAAAAAATATTAATATAAACAATGTAGCGTATTATAAAGTGCCAAAAGAATTTTTAAAATGCATATAATCACCTGGCAAAATTGTTAAAATGAACCTTGTCGAACACTTTTTAAGTGAGACTCAATCAAACAACATATCCAGGATAAACTCCACTCGTTTGTCCAATAAGTATTTATTAGGTAGCTACGTCTCATATGTTAGGCCTTTTTCTAGGAAGTGAGGATATGGTAATGAACAATAAAACCCCTATTCATGAGAGTGAGATAAACACACAATACAACAGACAGGTAAGGCAAAATACACAGTACGTTAGAGGAGAAAAACTAAAGCAGGAAAATGAAATGTTTATGTGTTTGACGAGGAGGGTGGTGGGAAAGTTGGGAGGCCAGAAAAGCCCCTGCTGAGAAAGAGGATTTTTCTTTAATACAAAGAATATTGTATTTGTATATCAAAGACTCTAGAAAGTGATGATGTTAACAGAGTTGATGTCAAGATACAAACAGGTTTAAAGTTAGAGATGATAAACCACTGTTTCACTGAACCTTCCCTTGATTATGTTAGACAGCATCCCTGGTAGGCTCCCAGCTGAATCTTAAGCATGATGTGTCCTGGTGATACAATTGTAATTCCTTTCTGCTAGTCATCGTTCTCTCTTTTTTTCCTTTTCCTTCATTTTTCTCTGGACTAGGAATTGTGCTGGTACACGGTTCTTCCTCAGAAAGTGGTTATTCCTTAATGTGTTTCTTTTACCCCTTTTCTTCTTAGAAAGGGGATTTTAAGTAAAGAACTGATGAAATGGAAAGCTAGATGAATATCCAGACACAGGAAACTTCTAAGGGCAGACAGAGGTATGCCTGGAGTCTAAGCACTAGGGATAGGTAAGGAATAGCAAGAAGCTCAGTGTGGCTGAAGCAGAGCAAAGAGGTAAGGAACAGAAGTTCAAGCAGGAGAGGTAACATGCCAGATGGTTTACTGCCTTTTGGTTATTAGGAGGAACTCTGTCACATACTCGAAGAGTGAAATGGGAGGCAATCAGAAGGGCTGGGGCAGAGGAATGACACAATTTGACTTATGTTTTAAATCCATCCACTAAGTTAAGAATTGATGAAAGGGGAAGTTTTTAAAAACCAGGACTATCAATTCCCAGTCTATGACACTCATCTAGACTGCAGATGATGGTGGCTCAGATGTGCAAGATATGACTGGCTTTGGGATACATTCTTCAGGTAGGCCTGACATTTACTGAGAGATTAGATGTGAGGTGTCAGAGAGAGAGAAAGATGAGTCAAGAATGACACCAAGGTTTTTGGCAGAGCGACTGGAAGAGTTGCCCTTAACCAGAGGAGGAAAGACTACATGAGCTGTAGATTTCTGGAAGGCATCAGGAGCCCAGTTTTGCATCTGACAAGTGTATGATACCCAACAGCTAATCAAATAGAGATGTCAAGTAGGCAGGCTGATATAGAGATCTGGAATTAAGGAGAGAGACCTGAGCTGGAGACATACATTTGGAAATCACTAGCATATACACAGTAGAAAAAGTCATGAGGGGCAAGGCATGGTGGCTCACGCCTGTAATCCCAACACAGACAGACAGATCACCTGAGGTCAGGAGTTTAAGACCAGCCTGGCCAACACGGGGAAACCCTGTCTCTCCTAAAAATACAAAAATTAGCCGGGCATGGTGGTGTGCACTTGTAATCCCAGCTACTCAGGAAGCTGAGGCAGGAGAAGCACTGGAACCCAGGAGGCAAAGGTTGCAGTGAGCCAAGATCATGCCACTGAACTCCAGCCTGGGTGACAGAGCGAAACTCCGTCTTAAAAAAATAAAAAAGTTATGAGAAAGAAGATTGAGGACTGAGCTCTGGGAAACAACAACGTCCAAAAGGAGAAAGATGAGGAAGAGCAAGCAAAACAGACCACGATGAATGGACTAGAAAGGCAGGAGGAAAAGCCTGAGGGGGTGAGGTCCTGAAAGCCTAGTGAAGACGCCGTTAGGAAGGAGATGTCCTTCACTGGCTCAAATATTGCTGACAGATTAAATGAGGTGTAAGAAAAAATGCCTAGATTTAGTTACAGAAAAAAGTAGTGATAACCTTGCGAAAAAGTGCTGACACCGAAGACTTACTGGCATTGAGATCAAGAGTGAACAGAAAGAAA